AATGGTGATATCATAATTAAAATGAGTAAGAAGTGTGAGGGTTTAATTTTAGATAAGCTCATTTATGTTAACAAGGCTCAGCTATGCTTAGCGACAGGGACAGCTGTGATGAACTGAATGGAAGCCCCTTCCCCAGGTAGAGGCTAAAAAACCCAACAGCGCAGTTAGCGGAAAACTCTCGGACAAAACTATTAAAGATTAAACACGTCGACATCGTAGAACGCCTGCGTTCTGTGCACTGCCTAAGGATCACAAGCCTGGGGTGCCGCTTAGACCCGTGATATCTGTATGCGGTGGTCCTACAGAAAAAAAACTTTACGTCTTTTAGAGAAAGCATTCAACTGGAAGAGCTACCAGAGGGCAGTGTTTTCTTGCGTGCAGATGCTGTCGATTTTTATGGCAACATACCAGGCTATGAGCAAATCAGGGCCGTGAAAGCTAAGGTAGACAAGGATCTCCATGGAACTGATGCTTTCGGTCTATCAAAAATGGATATTTGCGGTCTTTAGAACAGCGTCTCCAGGATAATGTGTTCTCGATCGGCGATGCCTATTATCAGCAGAGACAGGGTCTAGTAATGGGTAGCCCATGCGCTCCTCCTCTGGCGATGATATTTCTGGACCAAGTTCAAACGAACGCCCTGGCCGCCAGCCCATTAAAGCCTATTTTTTGGCTAGGTACATCGACAATTATGCTGAAGTATGAAAGTACGGACAGCGTGCCTTGACGAATTTCCGGGGTTCATGAACAACCGGTATCCTAGTTTAGCCTTTACGATGTAGCAAACAGGGGGGGGGGAGAGTGCCCCATATTTGGATTTACTAGTGACGGTGGGAAGGAGAAAGAACCGCACAACGTTGGAAACGGAGCTCTTTATCAAGCTCACCAACTCTGGTATAACACTACACTGCGAATCTGTGCATCCAGCTTCTACTAAGCGCAATATATCTCGTAACACGTTTTAAGTAACACGCAACACGTTCACTAAGCTCTTGAAAGCTCAACTGTGGCACAATTCTGGCCCGCCAACTGTGGTATAATGACGCACTGCGAATCTCTGCATCCGACTTCCACTAAGCATAACACAATTCATAGCATTTTGCGCGAGTGGCAAGAAATGCCATCTATACAAGTTCCTGCTGCAACGCGTTTGCACGCAAAAAAACGTCGTTCACGACATGAAATGCATAATGTGAGGGACAAAGGCTATGTCTGGAAGTCTATGCGCCCTAATGGTTTGCGAGGCGCTCAATACAAAATGTGGAATGCACTTTTCGGCGACTATTTCTGGCAAGACACGCTCATGCGGAAATCCAGGACCCTGTGACCCTTTTAGAGCTCAAAGTCACTTACAGAACACAGGACCACACAGACGGGATTTTTTATATTTTGAATTTTTCATAATTTTTAAAATTTGATTTTTTCTGTCATTTTTTATTACTATTTTATTACATTTTAATCATATTTTTCTTTAAAAAAACAGTGGCCAACCCCTAATGGTCGATTAGCGCGAATGTGACATGTGCATTGATTGATTGTGATGCATGCTAGCTTAAAATCGTACACATGTATAAATGATGCCTGACGCGTCGTGCGCGATGCTGCTTAATTGAAACCGTTTGCACACAATTGACGCGATATGTATGATATCTGTTTACGTGATCTCGCTTGTATGTTTTAATAAAGCGTGATACGTAATGCCTGCTTACTTGATTTCATTTGCACGCACACATATTTTTCGCGTATTCTTGTTCTTTGTTAGATATGTACTGTATCGTAGTAATGGCTGGCAATTGTTCGTTGCTTAATCCCCAAAATGTAGGTGACTTGTAAAAGCTGTGGCTTGCTGTTACCGACCCTTAAACTGCCACCTAGTGACAAAGATACACAAGAAAAGGAAAAGGAATGTTAATAAATAATGGACAATGCTCACTGCCTCTAACACTACCCACCGGAAACGAACCAAATGACTTTGTGTGCATGATCATCATAACGTAAATCTACCATGAGACCCTGGCACCGACCATGAACCTCTTATTCCTACCGTTACAGGACCTGCTAGCACAGCAGGCAAAGTGACAACTGTGGCGAGTGTCGGACGCCTGCACGGCGATTTCACCTGGTGCAGCAGGCATTTGATATCACCACCCAACTCAGCAGGAAATCCACCACTGACTGCGGAAGTTCACCCCAGGCTCGTGATGGGGCCGCTGGGGTGCTGCTCGAAAGCAGCCAATGGGAGCAAAGTCGGGGGGGGGGGGGAGGGAGCGGGGAAACAGCGAAACGGCACAAGCTTGAACACTGACAGAGATTCGGCTCATTTTCATGCAGTGGCCCGCAAACTTGACAACTACTTTCCACATGTTACCTTTCAGTTTTCTTAAGATGTCACTGCATTTACAGCACTGACTTTTTGCAGCGTGCATTTGAGCGCCGTGTTCGCATGCAAAAAGTAATCAGTTTTCTAAAATAAACTTAATGCAACCACGACTGCGTAGGCAAAGAGCATTTCAGCTGTCTAGCATATGCTCAGCAACAACAAATTTTAATATTAGCCGTGATCATGATGCATTAACGTGCCAAAAAGCTTCCAGAAGGTTTTTAAAACTTTTAGATGAAGTTTTGGTACATACTCAACACTCCCACAAGCAGAATTTGTTTTTATGCAATTTGCTGAATATGCAATAGGTTAAACCACGTGTATTCAACAAATCAAAAGCTTGCTATGTTCAACAAAACTTTTCAGAAATTTCTTCAGGCCAATGCCTTTAGTTCGCCCATATTTTAGGAAAATACTAGGCCTGACAGTCAGCAATGTGAATCGGTCGAGAATGTTTGATGCTAGCTGCGCCTATTATTGCTTACATCGGTGCTGTGCGGGGTAAGGCGGGCTTTGATGATCATTCCACTGCTCATTTTAGATCATGTTGAGGTATGTATGCTCTATAAGGTCTGTAAGTACCCTAAGCAGGCTCTATAAGTAGCATAAGTAAGCTTAATAAGTACTATGAGCAAGCTCTGTAAGTAGTGTAAGTAATCTCTGTAGTACGAGATGTCTGTGAACAGGAACACCACAAGGATATGGGAATTTGTTTTGTCGGCTCTGCGCCAGAGATGCTACTGAACATTTCAAAAAATGGTTCTGCAAAGTTTCATTAGCAAGAGATCTGGCATCACAACTCTCCATAAAGCCATTATTTTGCTGATAATCATCCAACCGAATTTCATAAACTTATGTGTTTGTATAAATGCTTTTGGATCTCTGCGAAACATTTCTAGCCGGAAGTTGCTGATATAAGGTGTGTAATTAGAAAACAACAGCCAGAAAGTTACCTATAAGACGTTTTGTGCTATAATCAGTTGTAAAAATAGCTAGTGATAATTTGACGAGTTGTCTAAAGGGAAGTGTCCCACCTTTACGGCACATTTCAAAAACATATTCTGGTGAAAACTAAGAACCATATACGTTTGCTAATGTCGCTGGGTAGTGCCACTGCAGTGCCACCAAGATACAGCAAGGATTTACATTTTAGCTATGTTCTAGTCAAAGTTATTTGCCAACGCTTTACAGCAGCACCACGCTTCTTCCTTCCTTGGTAGCCCCAGAATGTATCCCTAATCCGCAACAGCTGCAGTTGTCACAATCGTCCTCGTCATGATAAACGACGACAGAACTTGCTGAGGACTTTTGAGTGTTTACATCCGCACAATGCGGGCATGCCGGCTTCAAATTGACACCTCTCATGATATGAATGACGTCAGTGCAAATGCACGTTTGCGGGTGGCGTAATGGGCGGCAATGGCCAGGCACCGAGAAGGGCAATGCTTAAAGGGTGAACCAGTGCGTCACCATAAACCATGTGATACACTATTGCATCAAGCCAAAGTTCACTTCGAAAACAGGTACGGTGGTAAACGTCATGCCATCATTTGACGTTTTGTTGGATTGGCGGAATAATAGCCCATGTTTGCAAACTTTTTTGTCTCATCAGAGTATGTCATGCTCTTGTAGCATTTCTGACGCAAGTATTCCGACAAATTAGTCTGTTTTAACATTGCATAACAAAAACACTGGAAAAACAAAGCAAAGAGAATGCATTGCTTCCTTAATGGTGAGCAGGGAGTCCATTGAGATTTCCGCGGTAGAACCCGCCAGTCCAAATCGAAATTCTGAGCAGTTAAGAAGAATTTTGGGATAACTGGTGTTAACGATCTTCGTGCTGACGAAATGCGGCACCTGAGACGCATGGCCTATCTATCGCTTGCACTACTAAAGTACGATATGGCTCGTACATTAGTTAAACGGACAACTCTTTCAGGAACGCACGAGTTATTCCAATGGTCGAAAGTCACGGACTTGCGGGTGACGAGAGGATATGAGCAATGCTTGAAACAACAAGCTAGGGTAATGCGACCAAACTTTGATAGTTACGCTACCTAGCACCTTCTGGTAAAATGAAGATCCGTTATTTTTCGCACGAAACCTCCAAACTCATAGTGCCGAAAAACCCTTAGCTCAAGCCGTGCTTCCTGCTTGTATCAAGCAAAAGATACTGCTATGACCTCATTTCTGCTACCTGCCTCCCGCATCGTTCGTGACTTATTGACTGTCAGTGTTAGTGGTCACCGCCTACTCTGCGAGCAATCGCCCATTTCATCATGCACACGTGCCACTTGGAATACAGCAAGACGCCCCACGAAATGGCCAGGGAGCGAACTCAGGCCTAACAAGATCGAGTGACACGGAATCCGCCGTGGGTTCTCAGACTATCCCGCCAAGTCGCGATTATTTCCTGGATCCGAGCCACGTCACCGTGGTTCAGCCTGAAGTCCAGCCAGCGCACCACCGGTCGCTGGCTTCGTTGAGGTCCGGATCTTAGAAACGCTTGATTAGGCTTACCTGAATCACTTCATATTACAAAACTTCCGAGCAGATGAGACCCAGCCACCCCGCCAGCGTCGTCAAATCGCTTGCCCCGGCCACCGGGAGCGCGGCTTACCGGTGAAGTTCACCAGCCCCGTGTAGAACGGCGCGTTGTTGGTCAGGCCGAGCAGGCGGCTGTTAGTGCCGATGTCGTGGATAGATGGCAGCACTGCGCCCGAGTGGGCGGAGGTGCAGGCGGCCAGTGACTCGCTGTAATTGGCCGACTGTTTGGAAAAGGCCCGGTAGCAGAGACCGCCACCGGCGGTCCAGCCGCCGGGGCACGCCAGCCTGGCGGCGCCGAGCCCGAGCAGGGACAGCAGGGACAGTGGCAGGGACGCGCGCATCCTGGCGGCGGCGGCGGACGAATGCCATCCGCGGCGCCTTCACCGCCGCCGGCGGCCCCCTGCCGCGAGGGAACGGGACAGGTGACCAGCCGATAGCGGTGTGAGGGTGCTGCCCTGCAGGGACCGGTTCCCAGCGAACCGCCACCAGCCTGAGGCAGCCGGCGCTCCACGCTTTCCTCCTGGGGGGGGGGGGGGGGGGGTCATCAGTGTTGACTCAGCTGGCGGTGACACACTGACCTCACTCTGAGACTGACCCTGTTCTGTGCGGATGTATTGCTTACGCCCCACTTCCTCAACACAAGGCTCACTGGCTCCACACAGATTCAGCATCCTTGTCCTTGATGGCGATGTCACAGACTGACCATGTCATGGGATAAAGATTCAACTGAGAGCACGTCCTCAACGCTGACCGTGTCCTCAAAACTGATCCGGTCCTCAACACCGCTAACTTCCACTGCGGGCTCCATTCGGTGTGTAGCGCACCTCACGCGGACACCACGACCGCGCGCTTGCTCCGGTCTTGAGGCGGACCGCGTCGGGGAGTGGTGCGCCGAAACCGAAGCTCTTGGCGGATGTACTGATGGGCCGACGTCCGAGACCGAAACGGAGACAACGGAGGCATTGACACAACGGAGGTAACGGAGACAGCGAGACAACGGAGGCAACGAGACAAACGGAGG